TCGCTACTATGCATGCAGTTTTATGTTTTCAAATGAAGTTCATACTACACTTTCTCATGATTAACACAATTTGAACCTCTTCATGAGATTGCCTCAATTCTGTAAATAAGTTTTGATGTCGGACCGGACAATGGCAACTCAAGCATTCAAGTTGGGGTTCAGTTCTTTTATTTTTTATTAATTTTTTGAATTCAATAAGTTAAATTGTCACGTGCGGTCCGGAAGGTAGGAAAACACAACTAACTCCTGACCCCTATCTATGATAAGTATTGGAGTTCTTGAATTTATTGTGGGTTCAAGATGAGTCCCTCTCCTGGCAACATGAAAGTTCAATCGCTTCGCTATATGTTGGAAATGACTTAGAGTTGGAGTTCTAAATTCATTGGTGAATCCGCAGGCTCATCACAGTTTTATCGGGGAAAAACCTCTGAGAATAAAAGTGAAGCAACTTTTTTTTTGCCGCCTCTTAGGGCTGTGCAAATAGCATGGCAAGTGCCTTAACGTAAGCTGACAGGAAAGTTGAAGATATAGTCCATACCAAATACAATATTATATTTTCTTCATGCTTACGATGTTTATCGAAGTGCAACAGAATCCATACTCAAACCATCCCGTTCACACTTTGCTTGCCTTGACTCTTCAATTGAGTTCCAATTTATGTCTGTCACAATGTTATGTAAAATACGTTCGACTTAATCTTCATACAAAATTGATCGATCTACAATGAAATCCAAAGTTGAACTTCAAAATTCTCGTTCAGTGTCTCATTGCATTGATTTTTCACTTGAGTTTCAATTTATGACAACGCTATGTCAGTTACGTCTTTTGCGTTACAAAATTTATCAAAGTGTGATGAAATCCATACTTAAACCATCATGTGATTGCCTCAATTAATTAAGTTACACAATTCGAACCTCTTAATGTGATTGCCCCAACTCTGTACATAGTTTTGATGTCGGACCGGACAATGGCAATTCAAACATTCAAGTTGGGGTTCAGTTATTTCAGCTTTGATTAATTTTTTGAATCGATTAAGTTGAATATTAAATTGTCTTCATGATTGGGATGTTTATCGAAGTGCGATGGAATCCGTACTTAAACCATCTCGTTCAATGTGTGATTGCTCGATTGAGTTTCACTTTACGCATTGCCACAATATCATGTAAAATACGCCCGACTCAATGCTCATACAAAATTGATGGAAATGCGATGAAATCCGGAGTTGAACCTTCTCATTCAGTGTCTCATTGCATTGACTGTTCACTTGAGTTTCAATTTATGACAATATCATATCAGTTATGTCTTTTAAGTTACAAAATTTATCCAAGTGTGATGGATTCTCGTTCAGTATGTGATTGTCTTGAATCTTCACTTCAGTTCCTATTTATGACTTGTCAATTGTGTTTTTGGGTTCACTATGCATATCCTAAGTTTCATTCACATCTAAAATATAATGATTTCAACCTGAAATTAATAGCAAGTGAGTACCAATTTAAAATATAATGTCCTGTTTTAACGAATAACATGTTCCATAAGTTTGAGGAGACCTGGTACTGTGCTTAGTTTTGAATTGCTTGGACAATCAAACATGTCCCATAAGTTTGGGTGGTCTGATTGCTCTGACTTGCGAGGGCCAATTGAGGTTAACTTTTCATAAGCCAAGCATGTCCCATAAGTTTGGGTGGTTTGGTTGCCTTGTGCAATTTGGGTTTCCTTCTGTTTCTTTGGTTCTGAACGAGGAGGTCTGAGCATGGCCCATAAGTTTGGGTGACTCAGCCTCTTCCTGCTTTATTTCTTAGGGAGTTTCGACTGAGGACAAGGCATGTCCAATAAGTTTGGGTGACCTTGACCCCATGCCACACACAAGTTGAATCAGAGAGGAACGAATCAGACGGAGGACCAGACATGTCTCATAAGTTTGGGTGGTCTGGCCCAATACCTCGCACATGATTAGAACACGAAGGCTATAACTTGGCTATACTCTATTACTATTCTATCTATGAACAAGCTAGTCAGATAGTATCCCATAAGTTTGAGTGGTCCTGACTATAGCTTATCATAACTGAAGGGAGTATCAATTAAGAATAAACATGCGGTAAGAAGGGGCAGGCTGGACCTCGAACTAAGTCGATCGGTTCAGTCATATGCTACCGTATAAAATTAAGTCCATATAATTATATAAAGTTGTGATACTTAAACAGTTCAGGTCGACTAGGATGACCTAGTCACATGCCCAAGGAAGAGAAAAGTAGTTGTGCCCTCTGTTTTGTGTACACTCAATGGCTAAGTTAGGCATGTCTCATAAGTCTGGGTGGCATGACTTTATGTCTTATATAAGTTGGGTATAATGGGAGAACTCATGAAAGATTATGAACTATTGTTTGACAAGGTTAACCCTGGGGTTGGTGAGAGTACTTACCATTGTGGTTTGACCTGCATGTGGCTGAGTGCGGCGTCTACTTAGTCCGAGTTTCAGTTTGACAGGTAGTTGCTTTAGTTGCTTGCTAGAGCGATAGGAGTTAGTTCAATTTCTGCATTTTGTGAGCTAACTTTATTTTACTCAGATCAATTCCCGCATTTTATGAGGTCATTTGTTATACTTGGCTTTGTATAAATTTTGGTAAGCTACTTTCTCTACGGGAAGCGCTGCCAAAATTTCTGCAAATCCAAGGAGTTAGTCAAATTTCGACTTTTCAAAGTTCAACTTGTCTAATTTTTATATATGGCTTATTAAAAATCTGGGCAGTCTCCTTTTCTAAAGTATGCCGAAATTTCTGCTAATTCAGGGAGTTAGACAAAAATTGGACTTTGGAAATTCGAAGACTATTTTCTGTATTCAGGATGATACAAATTATGAAAAGGCAATTTCCTACAGGAAGCGCTACCAAAATTTTCTTAGTTTGAAGTTGTGTAGCACACCGAACATGTTCGGAGCTTTTTTCGAACGCCCGAACATGTTCGGGTGTTCGGCTGAACGCCACCCGAACGTGTTCGGCCGAACATATTAAAAAAAAAAAAAAAAAAAACTTTTWTTTTTTTGTTTTTAATTTTTAACTCGAGTTTGATTAAGAATTTGACCATATACCTCCAAGGCAAAAATTGTTTGTATTATTATTTGACATAACATATTTTTTGTTCAGAGTTTTGAGAGATTTTTTTTTGTTTTTTTTTTTATGTTCGCGTTTGGAGAGTTTCGACGCTCGTTCGCGTTCGGTCCCGAACGTATGACCGAACCCGAACACGATGCTACACAGGTTTGAAGGAGTTCGATTATATTTTGACAGGTGGCGATTTTGGCGATCCACCCTGGATAGGGGAGATTCTGCCATAGGTTTACCTTGCTTGGGCACTGGGTTAGAGGTAGGCTTAAACTTAGTTGCATGAGAATTTTGAGTGGGAATGTGCTATGGAGATTCACTCCCCATACACTAATAATCTATCCTGGGGGTTGGTCTGTCTTGTAAAAAACAAAGGCCTTCGCCACTAAACGAAACAGTCTGTCTTTCATTTTCTTTGTAAAACCCCCATCTCTCTCTCTCTCTCTCTCTCTCTCTCTCTCTCTCTTTCTCTCTCTCTCCCTTTGTGTAAAAGAAATACAAAAGTTGAACGCATGTTGTAGTATAAAATTGCGATTGCGCCCACCACAGATTATTCTTAGGAAAAAGGTTCAGCCTTTGAAATTTTGGTTTTTTTTTTTTTTTGTAATTCCATGTACACTTCTAGAGTATATATCTATTCAATAAAAAATTGTCCTCCCTCTCTTTTGCATGCTTCTTCGAGCCCCACTGTGGTTTACAAAAACGAGGAACAATGTGAACGGTCTCGATGATGGTGTCAATCGTTATGACGCTACTGTGCTGATGACTGTTTACCTTCTCCCATTGCAACTTCTTACAACCTGTTGTGTGTTCCCTTTCGCTATCCACCTCTTTGTACTATTGCACAAAACAACACCTGTGCATCTCCGCAACACCTCCTATGCAAGTGTTCATGACGAAAACCATGGCTACTGATGCATGCCATATGTTATTATTCCCACCTCTCACTGCAACATCGCTGTGCACAGCTCTCCCGTGGAACTGTGGTGAAACTCTTGCCATTTGAACGCCTGCGCCCCTGTGCGTCCCGTCGTATGTGCAGGCGATAGTCAAGTGTGTTCGAGTGTGTATCACTTGGTCATCAGATGGAGGTTGACAACCGTTCTCTGTCATGAACGTCGTGAGCGCACCTCAAAAATCCTCTCTGCAGGGAAGCTCGTTAAGTATTCTCAACGCCACGTTGCTTATACCCTCCACCTCCGGAAAATGCACATCGTCCATCTGAAACCACCGGAGTTGTAGAGTTGTTGTGTCGCGCGCTGCGAGGGTATTAATTCCGGTGCCCATGCAGTCTGTCACGGATGACCAATTTTCTGCCGACGTCTTTCCTCGTTTTCTTACAATCTCCATCTCATCCTTCAAACCCAATGAGCGTCGGACATGATTCACCATTTGCGAAGCAGCCTTGCGCTTGTTCGATGCCAGATATGGTTGTTTGCAGAACCTCTGATGATGATGCTCCCACACATCAGCTGCGAAGGTGTCGGGGACACCGGATCGCTCTATGCATGTTCTCAGATGCATAACGTCGTGCAACTTCGGAATTTTCTAATCCGAGGTTTGATATTTTCCCATCTTCGTTTTTATACTCGTTATGAAATCAGCTATCAATGTGTCACATACATCGAGAGAAGTCGCAGTGTGGGTCGACTTACGAAACACGTGTATGTACATTTCCATGAGTTTGATGAAACAAGCGGAAATGAATTTGCCTGTCGCACGTGGGATGATATCACAAATAATAAACACGCAAATTGTCATAACAAACCGATTTTGCTTCGCTTCAAATCATCCTTCCCTTGAAAAGAAATCACAATCTGTGGTCACGGGCAACACGAGCTGCGGGTATGTCCTCACACATCTCTCACTGATGCTCTGCAACCTCGCATCCATCTCGTGCAATATCTCGGTTTGCTCGATATCCGACAACTTCTTATAAGCTGCTGCCTTGAATGCATCTATCATATGCAAGAAAATGTCGTGTTCAATGATGTGCATACGGTTCGGTTGCAAAGCGAGATGGTAGTCTAGTTGAGGATCGTCAGTATGCGGACCCCTGTAGAATCCCCAAAAGCCGTTCTCTTGAGCATATTCAATTCTGATATTCGTGCCTCTGCGGCACGACGAATATCGTTGTCCCCATTGTTGAAGCGGTTCGCAGCAAGTTGCGTCTCTAGCGTCTGCGATCTCCTGCACTTGGTGAAATCCGCGATGACATCGAAATTGTCTTTGGACACTGTGCATGTTGGATAAACACCGAATTTCACAGTTGCAAGGGCACACCTTTCAGGATAGTCCTGTATATAGTTCATGACGAAAGGGTGGACTGTTATCTCGCCGAACCGCTCCGTTGTGACTATCATGTCGTCATGGGATGCCTCCTTTGCGGACCACAATACTATTGACAACGCTTTATGCAATATCACAACTTTCCGTTTTTTAAACGTGGTGGAGTGCAGACCCCAGCCCTTGTCACGTGGCCGGTGTTGAAGCACAGGAAGATACGCAAGGAGTGTGGTGTCCGATGCGCGATCAGCTATTGACATCATCAGAGGATACGCTGTCTGCTTTTGACGACCATCTACATGAGTCTTGTCTGAATACAGAGACAGAGGGATGACATAACGTGTTTTACCATTCGTGTCCACACCCTTGTCCGTTCTGATAACAGTTTGGACATGGTGACCCAACTGGCCCGTGCGAGAGCCACATATGTTGATCCCCTCGCCGGGAGGTTCTATTTCGAGGCAAGAAACCGTTTCAACGTTGTGCAGTGCAGCATATACAAGGTCAGCGAACGTTGTGCGCCAGTCGCGGTACCACAAAATGACGTGTGCTTCTTCTGGCCAATCATCACTGCGTAGATTGTTCTCTTGCCACCCTGCAGCCTCAGCCTGGCGGCTTGCCCATGTCAGACACTCATGACTGTTACGAAATGCGATTTTCTTGGGTCGAATCTAGGATTCTTGAGGAGTGACAACAGACAGTCAACGTCAGTTTGGGACATGCCCACACCGCCCCTACATGAGAAAATCAATG